GAACCAGGTTGGGCCAAGTCCCCCGTAAGGCAACCCTGGGAGCTCCTGAAACCAGTACCTGAGGAAGATAGAAAGCAAAACCAAGATGAGCCATTCTGTGTCTTATGTGGGACCTGACTCCACTGTCGTCTCTTGCTTTTCTCTCCCTTTCCCATCCCTACTCAGGCCCCCCAACATATGGAGGCTGCTATTTACCAGATGCTACATGGCCATGCAGATTTAGAGGAATCGCTTTCCCAGCAGAGAGAACAGCATGGGCAAAGGCCCTCTAGTGAGCATGTCTGGTGTGTTGGGGGAACAGCAGTGAGGCCAACGTGACTGGAGCAGAGAAGGTAGGGAAGACAGTAAGTGATGAGATCTAAGAGGTCACAGGGAACTGGATCATCCAGGGACTAATAATCACAGTGGAGCTTTGCCTTGCACTCTGAGAAAAATGGGAAGTCACTGGAGGGGCAGAGCAGGGGAGTGACAAGATCTGCCTTGTGTTTTCACAGAAAATTCTTATTGTTGTATTGAGAATAGGTTGAGAAAACAAGGGCTGAGATAGGGAAAACAGCTAAGAGCCTGTTTCTGTAGTAGGTAAGAGATGGTGGGGAACTGGAGCAGCGGGAAGACAGTGGAGGCAGGAAGGAGTGGTCAAATTCTGGATATACTTCATGGATACAGCCAGGACACCTGCCATGGATCTGATGGAAAGTGTGAAGGAAAGAAAGAAAGAAAAGAGTTAGGGTAAGACTAAGCTTTTTATTTTTGGCTTGAGTGACCAGACCATGGACTTGCCACTACCTGACATGGAGGAATACTACAGGAGGAGCTGGTTTGGGGGACATGCTTTGGACACATTAGGCTTGAGGCACCTGCTAAGCATCCAAGTAGAAGGGACTAGTAGGAAATGTGAAGTCCAGGGTGGAGATAGAAATTTGGGAGTTGTCAGTGCTACTGTATGAAATCTAAGGAGACAATAAAGGACATCCAAGAAAGGTCAGAGTCTAGGTAGTTCAATATTTTGGGGGGGGGGTACTGGGGATTGAACTCAGGTCCTTGCGCTTGTGAGGCAGGCAGCAGAACCACTGAGCTAAATATCCCCGGCCCTTGGTAGTTCAATATTTAAAAGTTTCTAGGCTGCAAAAACAATTGCTGAGGATTTGGGGAAGAGATATGAGGAGCTCTTGGTTTAATCTCTGTTTATTGTCAGCCACCTGGTGACCAGGACCTCATTGGCCCATATCTAGATGGTCCCAGTTCACTGGGCCTCTGCTTCTCTCCCCTCTGAGCTCCACATGACAGCGAGACTGACCACTTCATGCCCCATTGCTCAAGGGCTACAAGGACTTCGGAAGCTCAGCATTGTGGCTTAGAGCCATGGAAAGAGAATTGGGGCTAGAAGAGACCTGAATGTCTCAGGTCCCCTTTACTGCTTTGCCAGCAGGGAAACTGAGGCCCTGAGAAATAGTGGACTTGTCTTTCTGTCAACAGGTGACCAGGGCTCCTCAAACAGGCTGTATATTTCTACCACCCACACTGCCTTTTGTATCACTTCTCCATGGGCAGCGTGTCTTTCCAGAGCATCTGATCATGCCCACGGCATGCAGGATGGCGGGGAGGACTCTGAGGCACCCAGTGGGACAAAGGATGAAGTTCTCTTTGCTTCCATTCCTTGTGACTGCCCACCTTGGACTCTCCTCCTCCCACTCCATGCCATGGATCTTTCCTTCCTTCCAAACCTTATTCTGACCCATTTTTCCAGAACTGCTTCTCTGTTCCTGTGGGTTATCTAAGCCATCAGGTGAATCTTGGGCTCAGGGCCTGAGCCACTTAGCTCAAAATGTTTCCCAGCTCTGACCATGTCATCCCAGGACTCCTTTGTGCCATCCTAGCCATGACCCATTTCTCTCACCTGTGCTGCCAACCACGGTGGTCCCAACTGATCCCTCCTGCTTGTCTCCCTAAAGTCTGTTGCCCACACAGCAGTCACTACCCACCCCAGCCCCGTCTCTGGTGTCTGTGTCCTTTTTTATCATTCTTGCGTCCTTTGAGCTTGTCCCTCTGGCTTGAGCCATCTTCCTTTTCCCATCTTCTCCCCTCTCAGCTCCAGCGGTGGAGGGTGTGGAGGGTCCTAGGATGGCTTCTATTCACAGAGGATGAGGACTGGTATTGGGGGGCCATTGGACTGGGAGCTTGATGGCATCCTGGAGGGAGGTGTCACGAAGAGGTCAGGAGGTAAGGTGGACTGCACCTCTGAAGTGCCTGGGGAGCGTGTCGGGGTTTGCTTCTTTCCAGACCCACTCATTTCTTTCTTCGTTTCTGCTCTGCATTCTCTCTTGTTCTCATTGTTCCTTCCCTTCTGTCTCATTGATTCTCTTTTGGTTGGGAGGTAGAAGGGATCCTTCACCAACCTAGGGCCCTGAGAGATTCTCCAGTCAAAGGCACCCCTGTTCCTGAGCCAAGCTCCTTCCCACTCTGGGGAGCTGGGTGTGAACAACCAAGTGGGAATATTTATCTCATCCTCTCTGGCCTGAGCACTTGGTTTGACTCATTCACTATTTTATCTCCAATACCTAGCATGGCATTTTGCACCCAATAGTTGCTTACTAAATATTAAATGGATAAATGAACTTTTTTTTTGGCACCAGGGATTGAACTTGGGACCTTGTGCTTGCAAGGCAGGCGCCGGAACCACTGAGCTAAATCCCCAGTCCCGTAAATGAACTTTTTTTGAGACAGGGTCTCACTATGTAGTTCAGGCTGGCCTTGAACTCATGGCAATCCTTCTGACTCTGCCTCTTGAATCCTGGGATTACACATATAAGCCACCACACCCAACAAATGAATATCTTAGGCATTCAGCTTCCTTCTTGGACCCCTGATCTAGCCTTTCTGGCTCTTTAGGCTACTGCTTTGAATTTTAATGTGGACCCAAGTCACCAAGAGATCTTGTAAAGCTGGAAAATTGGGTCAAATAGGTCTGGAGTGGGTCTGAGAGTTTGCATTTCCAGAATGTGTCCAGGGATGCTAATACTGCTGGCTCTCAGATCATATTTTGTGAAGTAAGGGTCAAAAAGGAGGTGTCTCTTAGGCAGAAGGCACCCTCAGCCTAAAATAGAAACAGCTGGGCCAGGGATTTAGCTCAGTGGTTCCCGTGCCTGCCTCAAAAATGCAAGGTCCCAAGTTTGATCCCTGGTACAATAAATAAATAAAGACAGACAGACAGCTGAAGATTGAGGGAGACTGAGAAGTGAAAGAGAAAGGAACAAAGGAAGAAGAGAAGTCTAAAGCTACTGGCTTGAAGGCCTCCAAGCCCTTAAGAAGCCTCCAGCTCATCCATCTTAGGAAGCCTAGAAGCACCTGCAGCAGCACAGCAGCCTCGCTCTCAAGGCCTGTGGGGAGGAGTCTGTGTCTCAAGGCCTGTGGAGAGGTGGGGCTCTGCAGTCTCTGTCCTCTATTGGCCTCCTTACTTCTGGGAACACTGTGGGTCACAGAAGAGGAAGCTTGGCAGAGGTCAGGCTTGGAGTTTACATTCAGTTCTGCAAACATTACCCATTCGACTTCTCAGCACCAGGCATTCAGGTAGACAGGAGGCAGGAGGCCTGTCCAATGGGGATGGAGAAATCTTGCTCCAGCAAAAGAAGTAGGGACTGAAATTTGGCCTTGGAGGAGAATGGAGAGAGCATATGGGGCCCTGAAAAGTGGTGGCGAGGATGCTGCAGGCAAGAAGGGTCAAAGCTGGATGGTTCTGGTCATGTGCCTTGCGCCAGAAAGGTACCTTGCTGGGGAGAGGGGGGTGATTCGGGGGAGTGAAGCTGTAAGAGCTGGGTGTGGGTCTGCATTAAGGAGTGCTTTAAGTGAGGAATCAGTACTTCAGTGGGAATGTAGACTTATTGTGTGTGGCCTAGGGAGCTGTGGAAGGGAATCGGTGAAGAAATCTGTATACCAGGGCCAGGGATTTGGCTCAGTGGTTTCGCTGCCTGCTGCGCAAGCACAAGAAGCCGAGTTTGAGCCCCGGTACCAAAAAAAAAAAGATAATATTACAAAAAAAAAGAAAAAAGAAATCTGTATACCTATCTGGAAAGGTATACTGGGGCCGGCTTTGCGTCTATTGGTTTACCTGGCCTACAGTGTGCACCCTTCCCTGGCTGTACTCATGGGGGGCTGGACTAGGTTGTGAAAGTGAAAGCGTGGTCCTGGGTTAGAGATGAGCTGGGGGTGTTTTTTTTTTTTTTTGCGGTACCAGGGATTGAACTCTGGTCGTTGGAGTTGTGAGGCAGGCACTGGACCACTGAGCTAAATCTCCAGCCCTTAGGGGTGGGTTTTTTGTTTTTCATTCTCCATGTGGAAGAGAGCTAAAATAATTTCACTCTGTGGAAGGTTTTAGAATCTTCTCTCTTACTTTCAATTTCTTTTGCCCTGGACCTCCTCGTGAAAACTAACTATGTTTCAGACAAGGAAGGGGAGGGAAAATAAGGAGGTCACCTTTTTGTAGTGGATGAGCAGGTAACAGCATCACCAGCCTATGTCAGTGAGCACATGGGCTTGCCTGCTTGGGACTGTGCTTTATTCCAGTGTTGGACCAACCACTTGCTTCCCTTCACCAACATCAACATTTCAAGACCTTGGCGTGGGTACCCTACATGTCACCAGTGCCAGATACTTGAGGGCTTTCCTGCTTAGATACCTGCAGCACTGTCCAGACCAGGTGTCAGCCTTCCTAAGAACAACCTTAAGTTCAATACCTGTGTATTTCACATAGACCCTTTTATAGCTGGCTGCTGGTAAGCGACGTGTGTGTGTGTGTGTGTGTGTGTGTGTGTGTGTGTGTGTGTGTGTTGCTGGAATTGAACCCAAAGTTGTTTTTTTTTTTGCTACTGGGGATCGAACTCAGGACCTTGCACTTGTGAGGCAGGCGGCGTGGCGCCACTGAGCTAAATCCCTGGCCCTTGAACCCAGAATCTTGAGCATGCTAGGCAAGCACTCTACCACTGAGCCGCAGCTCCAAACCAAAGGTAGCATTTTTGTGATTACTTGTGGGAGGGAGCCCAGCTTGCAGGTCTGGAGTTTTCCCTGACAAGGATCCATTTCCTTCCTCCCTGTATGTCCCCTGTCCCCTGTGCCCGAGATCACTCTCTTACTGGTACTCATTTCTCCTGCAGGCCTCAAATTGTGCCAACAGGGAGGGCAGATTTTGTTTCTGCAGGGAGGCATGGGATATTATTTTCATTTGATTTATTTGGGTTGCTGATGATCCCCATGCTGATGTGCTAATGAACAGAAGAAGCCAGGAGCAGCTCTCACCAGCATTGCATGGAAAGTGGGTAGAATGATTCCTGGCAGGGGCTGAGACCCCAAAAGGCCATTCAGGAGTGGGAGGGGGGCTGAAAGGGCTTAGGGGCAGGAAGCCGATCCAAGGACTGTCACTGACACCTTGGACTCAGTTTCTTGGCCCTGGCGGGGGGACCCTGGGGGAGAACTTTGCGGGGGCCCTTCTTCTCCTATGTCCCATGGCCTCTGCTTTATGTTCCTCCTTGCATCAAGCTTTTTCAGCCTAATGTCCTTGCAGTTCTTCTGCAGCTCATGTGCTCCACATCTCAAGCACAATCTTCCGGAACTTGTAGAGTGACTGGTGTTGGTCACATCTTTGATGTATGACATGTAGCTGATGTTCTGTACCCAGTTGGCATAGACACAATTGGTCTGGCATAGGTGAGGAGTCTTTTTGGTTGCTACTTGCTTTCATTTACTTTTAGTGTTAGGAAGTTGAGGGTTGAGTTTGGATTCCTCAGTGGTTAACTGTCCATTCTTAGGTTTCTTTTCCAAGGGCATTTTCTCATTCCACTTCTTTATCTGTTCTGGTTCTTTTGAGGGTGTTATATATTTGGTCATCTCTGGTTTTTTGGGGGGTGGGGGTGGGGGAAGAAAGTGGGTTAGCAGCTCTGAAGCATTGTTACATTTCAATTCAGCCACTCTATGATTTCTTTTATTTATTTTTTCTTTTCTTTTTTTTCAGTACTGGGGCTTGAACTCAGGACCTTGTGCTTGCAAGGCAGGCATGGCAGTACTGAGCTAAACCCCCAGCCCCCTATGATTTCTTTTGAGTTGTCACCTGCCAGCTGGCCCTGCATGAAGGGGCTCCTGGTCATATTCAATCACACCAGTCCTGCTCAGAATGCCTGGAGAGTGAACAAAAGTCTAACTTGAAGTTTGGTGAGGCAGCATGATTGCAAGAAGAGAAATAAAGGAGGACATGAAGACATGCAAGAACACAAAGAGGGTCAAAGCAGCTCTGGAGGAGAGATGAGAAAAGAGGCAAAGAGGGAGAGGCATAGCCTCTAATGTACTTACCGCTCTAGGCTTCAGTTTGCCATCTGCAAAATGGGGATAATAGGGCTGTTGTCAGGAATAAGAGAGTTAATAATGTGAAGTGCTTAGCATGTGGTGAACATTATATAATTGATGCAAATACAAGTAAGGGCAATACTGTCAGTTTTCACAATGGTTGTGAGACGGGCTTATGAAGCACTTGGCAGACTGCAAAAGGCTAATGTTTTAGCAACTATTATGATTATTCTACTCTTGCAGTTGGAAAAGTCTCTAGTCTGTCAGCTGCTGTTCTGTCTTCATGCTGATGAAGGAAGGGGGAGCTGCCAGGAGGAGGTGTGGACCCCTGGGTTTTCGTCTGCTTTGGGGACAGTTTCCTGCCTCTCCTTCTCAGCCCCTGATGTACCGAATCCAAAACCCCTGACCCTCCCTGCTGCCTCCTATGCCTTTGAGCTGGCTGGCAACGAGTAGAGAGAAGGTGGAGGCTGGCCGGAGGGGCGCAGGAGGGAGGCTGGAGGAAGCCAAGCTGAAAATGAAGCTGGGGAAGGGGCAGCAGAGCGGCGCCTAGAGTCATGTTTGCATAACGAGCTGGAAGGCTCTGGCTTGGTTTTTCCTCCTTTGTCTCCCAGCCTTAGGGTCTCTTCTTTTCTTTTTTCTCTTGGGCCACTTCCCCACATTGCCTCCGGGCTCGGCTCTCAATACCCGGAAGCCCCTCCATTCACTTCTCCCCATTCCACTTCTCTGATTCCCGCTCCAGGCTCTCTTAAGTTTCCCTTTTGTTTCCCCATCCATTTCTGCCCCAGCAGGGTCGCCTTTGGATCCCTCCCTCAGCTCTCCCTTTACTCTGCTCTGTGCCATCCCCCTTTCTCTCTCTTTTTGACTACAAGCCTCTTTTCTCTTCCTCCTGGCTTCTATCTTTCTCTTACATTTTCTAGCTCACTTTCTCCTAATGACTCCCTCTGCATCACCCTATAACCTTCACCTCTTGCCCTTTTGTCCTTTTCTTGCCTTTGGCAATAGCACTGTCCTCATTAGCTAAGCTGCTTGGATTCAGAGGACTTAGTGCCCAGATTCAGGGTCTGTTCATTCAGAACCTCTTTGGATGAAATAGTAATGATAAGACTAAAGTTTAGTGAGTACTTACTGGACAAGCATCACTAAAACTTACCTGGGTCTGATCTCACACAGTTCACTCAACAATCTTGTAAAGTGTGATTCCATTTTATAGATGAGAAGAGTGAGGCACAGAGAGAAGTTAAGTAACTTGCAGAAGGCCTCACAGTGAATCAGCACTGAGACACAAATGCAGGGCTGCCTGCCTAAGGGGCTCTTTACCATACCCTTGGGAAAAGCTGGCCTCTCCCTCTCTCTGTGAGCTCACAAAACCCTCCTTTTTTCTCAAACATCATCTCAGCGCCCCAGAGTTCCCCCAAAGATCATTCGGTCCCTCTTCCTTCTGCATAACCCTAGACCTAGTGCAGCTTTGAGAGCTTATTCTATATGACAGCACCACTATCAGGGTAATGCCAGGCACGGGCCTATGCACTTGCTGTCATGATCTCATTGAACTGTCACGGTGACTGGGAGGTAGCAGCTATTCACATCCTCATCCACAGATCATGAGACTCGGGCCCAGGGAAGTCATGGAGCTTGCCTGTGTTCACACAGTTGATAAGTGGCAGGACCAGGATTTGAGCCCAGGCATCTTGGCTCTCAGGAACCTGCCCTCCCAGTGGAGATGCTGCTCCAGACAGTTCTGGGGAAACAGGCAGCACCCTCTGTTACTAGCCCAGATGTTCCTTACAGTCCACCCCCAAGTCCTCGGCACAGTCTGCTTCTGTGGGCGCTACTGCTAAGGTGTCATCTTTGCCACCAGCACTGCCAACTCTGAGGTTTGGTGAGGCTGCCAGCCCTAATCGGTGCCTGAGGGGATTTATGGGTGGCTGCCCCTAGAGAGTGGGGACAAGTGTTTTCTTCTCCAGCCCTGCTGTGCAGCCTCCCAGCCCGAACAGCTCCCTCGTTCCGGCCCATCGCAGCAGCTGATTTAACTCTGTGGCTGGGGGATTTAGCTGCTGTCCTGGCTCCTACTATAAATCCCAGGGCAAATAACTGAGCTCTGCATCAAAGCTGCCAATGGGAGTGAGCAGGAGCAGATGGCTGCTTTGGCCATGTCCTGAGACGGTGGGAGCAGGTGGGGAAGGTGCCAAGGCCTTTGCCCCGGCCACAAAGCCAGGCTGTGCTTTGTGCAGGCCCATGGGGTTTGCTGTCTACCCTCAGAGGACTTACCCGCCCTGTGCCAGCGTCTCCCATCCCTTAGCACGAGAAGTCAGTTCTGCTTGATCTGGAGTTTGGCACTGCTGCTCCATTTGGATTCTATTTTCCTGTATAGCCAGAGAAGAAAAGAAGTGGTAACCATCCTTGGTTTGCTCTTGTTTCCAAGTTGAGCCTTGATTGGCTTTCTGCTCATGTTGGACAGAGGTAGCCTCTGCCTTCCCAAGAGGGCTCATGCTGAAGCAGGAAATGCTAAGAACTTCTTAGTGAAAAGGGATGAAAGACCCTAGAATATAGGGATCTAAAGAGGGGACTGAGGCAAAGTAGGCCAGAGTAGGGTAGATGAACCTCAGAGAGTAGAGGTACTTCCTAAAAGTGAAGGAGAGTGGGTTAGAGTAGACATAGGTGGAACCCCAAAGCCTTCCATTTTGAGGCCCAGACTCAGAAACACAGTATGCGGGGGGAGGTCCACACCGGATCTGAGAATGAGGTGGGACGGGGTGGGGCCGTCATCCTGTCAAGGCCCCTTGCTCCTCTGGGTTCCTCCTGATGCCTCCTTCCAACTCTAATGGCTTCTCCCTGCCACCCCAGCCTGTCCGCTCTGTTCCTTTCTATTTGTCTTGTTCTTTCCCACGGTATTCTCCTTCCATCCCTAGAAAGTACGTTTTCACTTGGCTGACCAGCTAGTGGTAGTAGGATTGGGTTGGAGCTTGGGGCTCAGTTCTGCTCCCCAGAACCGCCCTCAGCTTAGGGCCTGTCCCTAGTGTCTGTGCTGTTTTGTCTTGTGCTCCTCATCCATTTTCCCTGCCCCGCTCCCCCACCCCCTGCCTGGGCTGCCTCCGCCTGGGAGATTACAGACACTGAATCAGCAGCCATCTCCAGCATTCTGCTGACGGGGGACTTTCTGCCTCTGAGGGCTCCTTGGTGGGATCAGGGCCCCTCCCAGGGCTGGAGGTTTTGGATAGGGGAAAGGAAGGGCTGGGAGGAACAGGTGCAGAGGAGGAGATAAAGGGCAGAAGGTAAGGGGAATTTGGAGAGATAAAGGGAGAGGTGGAAAGGGGAATTAAAAAGAAATATAGGAAAAGATGAAGTAACAGGGAGGGAAGTAGTGAGAGCAGCTAAGGGTGGGGAGATGGGAAAGAGGGTCCAAGAGGAAGGAAGGGTGTAGAATGGGGGGGGAGGCAGTGAGCCCTGTTCATCCTTCTACAAACCAGGCTTCTCTCAGCTCTTTCTTCCCTCCCCGAGGCCCAGGCAGGCCCTTGCAGAGTAAGTTCACTGGGCCTGGGCTGAGGGGTGCAGGCTGGGATCCACTGGCTGTGAGTCTGGGGCTGTCCTTGCGCCTCCCTGTTTCCCTCTCACGTGGTGGTTTGTACTTCATCTTGTTTGCAGGGCGGCTGGGCCTGCTCTCGGGGTTTAATGATCTGTGCCATTATTTATAGCTTTGCGCGCCGAGAAACACACTGAATTTATCGCTTGCTTCTATAAATAACCCTGGCAAACGGGTGCTCAGGGAGGCGGGTGGGATGGAGAGGGGGAATCAAAGAAAGGAGGGGGAGGGGAGGGGAGGTCTCTCTGGACTCTGTCCCCAAAATGGGGTGACATGGATGTACAAGGACAGCAGAATTCAGTGGGACTGTTTCAGTGTGGGTGTGTCTTTAAGTACTGGTTAATACGAACAGGACCGTGTGCCCCTGTGATGAGGCAAGCAGATGTTTGCATGTTTCTGAGGGCAGCATGAGTTGCCTATGTGTGTTTCTGTTTGTCTCTGATGATGCCATGTTGGTGGCAGTGAGTTGGAAGCCCTAGAAATGGCTGGTCCAATGAGAGGCTGGGGACAGGATGGGCTTGATGAGAGTCTGGCTCCTTTCTCTATGGTTGGGGTGACAGGAAAAGACTACCGTTATATATTTTTCTGGGTGCTCAATGGCAGAGGTGAAAAGAGGAAGAAATGAGGCCCGAGGAAGCAGGGTGAATCGGTAAGAGTGATGAATCTCCTCGTGTCCTACAGAGGGCCCTGGCTCTGGGGCTTGGTGGGGCTGCACAGTTGGCCACAGCACTCTTCCTGGGCGCCCCCTGTAAGTCCTGGCATGGGGTGGAGCCCAGGCAAAGCCAACTGGCCAGTGCTGAAACCTGCTAGTTATGCTGTCCCTGCCACGGCTTCTCACCAGCCCGCTCCCCAGGACTGCCCAGGACAGGTCTTAGGGACTGGGAGCCCTGGCACTGCCCAGCCAGAGGAGCGCTGTGCCGCCTCCTCCCTCCCCAGCCTGTAGCCTTCTTCTGCTCAGCACATCCACACAGAAATGGCTGCAGAGCTGATTAGCTCCGGGAAGTGCTCTGCATCGCTAATGAGGATATTTGCATATATAACGAAGAACCTTCACAGGTGTTGGCGAAGCCACCCCTCCTCTTTCCCCTTTTTTCTCTCCTGCCAGCTGCCACTCTGACCTGTGGCTCTGGGGGTGGGAGGTGATCCCCAGTTGGGAGATGTACTGAGGGGTTCCAGATGCAGGGCTTTCCTCTCTGGGTCAGCAACAGTCAAGGTGAAAACCCATTGTATCCCTGTGCACGGACAGGCACAGCAACATGTGCATGTGTGAACGTGAGCCTGTGCACTCGCACAGAAACACAGCACAAGGGCAATGTGCCCATCTCGGCCCTAGTGCACGGTACCATGTGGTAATGTGCCCCCCCATCAATGCAAGTATGCAAAACACGTCCCTGGCTACACCCAGGCCGACGCAGTGCATTCGACTGCCAGCACATGTTTCTCCATACTCGCGATCTGGCACAGGCACAAGCAATTAGAGAAAACTGCACCTGCACCAACACTTCCTCCCTCTAAACAGGGCACCCCCCCTTGTAGAGTCATCAGTCCCTGTTCAGGCCAGGAAACCACCCTCCAGTCAGACCTCGTAAGCACACAAGAGGCCATTTTCCTTTAAAAGAAGAAGAGTAACACGGGTCCTTACACCCAGAGTAATGACGTGGAAGCGAAGAAAATGCCAGGGCCGGGAGAGTGAGTAGGGACTCATGTTAGGGACTAAGGGCAGGTGGATGTCTAGGGAGGAGCAGAGCCAATGGTGCTAAAGTCCTCACAAGGTCATTCTAAGCTTTTCCCCAGCAGCCCTGACTCTCCTGCTGCATACCAGCCAATCCTCAGCCCTGAGGCCTCCCCTCGCCCTGCTGTTGGTCCTGCTGAGCCACGTGACCCTCCCAGCTCTGGCAGCTGCCCCCAATGATGGATGCCGCTGCTTAATTGTACCTGTTGAGGGACAGGGACCTCATAGCTCCTAATTACCTTTTCTAGAGGGAAGGCTGGGGGCTGGGCCACATGCAGCCCCTTCCTCTCTGGGGCCAGGCTGACATCTGAGCTAGAGCCAGGCCTGGGGGCAGTCAATCCCTGGTGGATGGGTGGGTGAGGGCACTGGTGCGGGGCATGGAATGGGGGAGCACTTCTGGAAGTCTAGTGGAGGGAATTAAAGCACATCACAGCCACAACAGCAGTGACCTGCGATGCTGGGACTTTAAATAAATGACCTTTCTCCAAGTGCTCCCTACATAGGGCAAGACTCAGGTTAAATGTGAAGGAGAAGTGCCTGGTGTTCAGGGAGGAGATATACTTAAGCGACAGGCAGAACTGTGGGCTAGAGGTTTGGAAGGCTTCTTAGACAGTGGATCACATTGGGTCATCCTTCCCTGCTGACTGGGGGGCTCACAGCGAAGGACTGCAGAAGCAGACAGGAGCTAGAGGAGGGCTTAAGAACTTGGAAGGATTTCTTGGAGGGGTAGTGACACTGGATGTTTGAGGAACTTGTCACATATTGGTGTGGAAGGCTGTGGGTCAAAGTTGGCTTGCAGAGGGAGGTGAAGACCTTGGCACTGGAAGGATGGCAGAACTTCAGAGTCTCCAAAGGTGCGGCGAACTCTTAGGGGGCGGAAACATGTATTCAACAATTCCCCAGCATAGTGCCTGGCGGGTAGAGGTACCCTGGGCTGGAGGTGGGGAAACCTTGTAGGTTTGTTCTGATTCTGAAATGCCATCTATGAGACCCCACAAGAGGATTCTCTGCAGGCTTTGAGAAGGGAATCTGGGAAGGGTGAGCACAGAGCTGGTGAGTAGCACCAGGCATCCCAGTGGCCAGGTCCTTTTCTCTGGGTGGCAATGCATATGATGCCCCAGCTGTAATAACTTCTTCTTTTTTTTTTTTTTTTTGGTACCAGATATCGAATTCGGGTCCTTACTCTTGCAAGGGAGACGGTGGAACAACTGAGCTAAATCCCTGGCCCACGGCTGTGATAATTTCTAATCACTGTTAGTTGATAATGTGGGTCACAGTGATGACAACCCCACAAGGATTCATAATCACAGACCCCATCTTTGGGGGTTCTTTGGGTGAAGGAAGAAGGGAGAAGGATGGCCTGAGTGCAATGCCACCCTGGGTTCCAAAGGAGGAACAAAATAAAACACCCATGCAGGTAAGGAGGGATCTCCCCATGATCTAAGTCAGTGCCTGTAGTGAGGAGGGCAGTGAGCAGGAAGACAAGGGGCAGATGGGCTCCTCATGGCCCTGGTGAGCCCTCTTCTGAGTGTGTCCTTTCATCACTACTTACGTCTTTCCAAGGCATTTCCCCCAGTTATCCCCCTCCCCAAGTTTGGGCCCAACTGGCTGGGCTGACCAGGTAGCCCTGCCTTACCATCCGCTTGCTGCCCTTCTGAGTGCATAGGGCTGGGGGATGGTCAGCCCCACCTGCCCCACCCCCACCCTGGTCCTGGTGTCATCACCAGGGAAGATGCTCACTGTGTTCCCAGTTGTGTGTTTGTGTCTCTGCTGCTCAGCAGCGTTGCTCTTGTGCATGCTGGGGTGCAGGGCATGCAGAATGTCTCGGAGAAGTGGCAACACTCTTGCCCATTCAGGGTTATGGGAAGGAGACAGAAGGGGTGGAGAGCTGGCCATCCATCATCTTCCCACAGGAGCAGAATAGGGTAGTTTTCTGAGACTAGGTTTCCTGGGCTTAGCACCATGCTAGTTTGTATGTGTACACATACCCTGGCATACACATACACACACACTCACTCCTAGAGACAACACTCACACTCACATGCTTGGTGCCTCAGATTTTCTCCCAGGAAGTCTGCCCTGGGAGCTGCTACTAGGGTAAATTTTGTAATAAATCCCTTTACATGGAAGCCCCCCACCTTTTTGGTTTTTTAAAACAGGGTCTCGCTATGTAGTTCAGGCTGGCCTTGAACTAACTATGTAGCCCAGAACTCAAACTCATGGCAGTCCTCCTGCTTCAGCCTTCCGAATGCTAGGATTGCAGGTGTGCGCCACCACACCTGGCTTTACATGGCACTCCTTCTTACTCTACACAAAAATCTTTAGCTCCCCAGTGCCCTTAGGTAAAGCTCAGACTACCAGCTTGCATTCAGTGCCTTATTTGATCTGGTCTCATCCTGCATTCCAGCCTTGTCTCCCATACTCCTCCAATAGAAGTGTCTTCCCAAGGACACTAGTCACATGCATGTATGTTTCCGCCTGCCTGGATAGCAGAGCAGCCCCTCCCACTAACATCTCCCGTTGGTGTAGGCTCACCTCCTGCAGGAGGCCTTTTTGATTGCCCCTGCTTATAGCAACTTCTTCCTTAGCAGGTGGTCTGTGGCATTTGGAAAGCCAGTTGTTTTGCAGATTAGGGCAGGAAGCCCTGTCTCCCTACCTCTGGAGCTTCTTGCAGCAGGGTCTGTATTTAGTCATCTATTTCCCTGGTGCCAAGCAGGTGCCTGCCATCTGTATATGTACATAATTGGCTGAGAACCCGGCCCCAGGGAAGAGCATCCTTCTGAATTGTACCAAGTCCCCACTCCTTCTTTTCTGGCTCTGTGACCCTGAGCAAGCAGCTTCCCCTCTCTGAGCATGCATTTCCTAATTGAACCATGAGGGGCTTGGACCTCCCTGCTCTGAGATTCTGTGTCTGTGGCAATGAGGATGGAGACAAAAGCTCAGCTGCGTATATGCACAGATAATCTCTTAATATAGAGGGTAAGAAGCTGGGGGTGGTAACCAGATCAGTGGCATTGAACTTATGTTTGGAGAATTCCTAACCCAGAGAGAAAGCAGGTTAGTGTCAGGTCTAGGCAGATCCATGTGACCCTGGGCTACTTCCTTTACTTCTTGTATCCTTAGCTTATTTACACAAAATAATGAGATTAACATTACAGGCTTCTTTGGAACTTTAGAGGTTACGTAGGTAGAAGTTTAATTGACACACATGGTACATGTAAGGATTCAGTTATTTGGGAAGTTATGTCTTGTTCCCCTCCCTTCTCATTCCCCCTTTTGGGAACTCTAGTCTGTTGTTTTTCCTCTTGATAATTGCTGGGGGTACCCATATTCACCTCCTCTCAGATAAGTTACAGTAGTGACTTAGCATCAGGTCTGCATGGGGTCTGATTAAGAAACACTTAGCAGGGGC